ACAGGGCCATCCAAACTTTTTTCACTGACGACCATATACCTAAGCACATTCGAAAAAGGGGGCCATAGACACTTGGCCAGTACAGTCAGTTGTTCAGATTGGTGCAAATTTAGGTCTGTGTCATAGTACAATGTGATATCATTAGGTTTATGGTGGTAGAATTACTCCAATTTGCATAATTTTGCAGTAAAAGAAGAAAGTTCTGCCTATGATCATTTGGGTCAGTTCAGCAGAAGGCTTAATGGCCAAACAAAAATAGCTTAGAGGGACATATTTGGATCCCGAACCATAGATTAGTCTAGCCAGGCTGGCGCCACCTAGTGCCTCTGCTCAATTTCATTTCTCTCCAGCAACTAGGTCAGGAATCAAAATACAATAAATGGTTCGCAAAAATCCCAGAAATGCAAGTTCGGGCACCAGCCAATCAGCGAAGAGCCATACATTCTTTGTTGTGAACAATTCCTGAGATTGAGGATTTAAAGCCGGAACAAAGAGAATGTTTGGTGAATTTCATCAAGGGGAAAGACGTTATTCCCCTTCATCCTATGGGATTTTGGAAAAGCTTAATATACCAGTTAGCCCCGTTAGCGGCACATTACATACTTGAGTGGTTAAATGATAAAAAGTACCTGCCTACCATTGAGCAAACAAATTCTAACACTGCGAGGTCAGATGGTTTCTACGAAGTGAAACCAGCTGATGAATCAGGCTAAGATTAGTCACCCCTGCTCTAAAACAATTTATTCAGCGAAAAAGTGAAATTTGCTCCTTCCTCATATCTATGGCTTAAGCAACTCCTACTGATACAGAGTTAACCAGCCTAGCTTAATTAATGTTTACCCCACTGCTATGCTATGGTTGACAGTAGCATTGCTCACAAACAGGGCAGTAGACGAGGAGGATAAAGGGGTTTGTTGCCCCGGGCCCCAGAATTTTAGAGACCCAGAATTGAACCCACTTCCAATTAATTTATATTCGAAGGGAGCCCATGTAAGGCTTCGTGCCCCGGACCCCCAAATTTCTGTCGACGGGCCTGCTCACAAATAAAAATTTTAATTCATTTTAATTGGATCAGTTTAATTGAATGCATAGGCTCCTTGTTTAGACTGTCTTAAGCCTTATTATATAAAGTGAGCTGCATATCAATAAAAGCTAAAGAGAATCACTCAGCTACCTAGCCAAAACCATGCTAATGATAGCTAATGATTAATGATAGCATATTATTCAGTGAACATGAATAGGAGGGAGGAAAATGGGACTGGTGTCATAGTAAATAACAATCCAAAACAAACAAAATATTACATTGTGCTATATGTCAAACTCATTGGAATTGTGCCTATAATAGGGAAATGAAATAAGCTAAAGAACAATTGTGAAATATTAGCTTCTGCTTTATCATTACAAAAAAGAAAAGAAATGGCTCCATCTGCGTGACCATCCACAGCCATAGTACTTTCTTAACTTTGATGAGTACACAGGAGGTCCCATTTAGCTCCATTAGTCATTATACTGTCACTCTGAGTACAGTACTATTTGTGTTTTTTCTTCTATTCCTCAGGATTCTTTCAACACTGTGTCTTAAAGTGGCTTACTCTGTACATTTTCTGGTGTCTGGTGTTCATTCTATTTTTGTTTTATTTTCTTCATGTCTGTCTAGTGTGACTGTACATTGGTATGACTGGAATGTTCCACAGCATGGCATTAAACTCGCTAACTTGAATTTATTACTTGTATTTTATTGCTAAAAATACTTGTAGACCTATTGTTACCACTGTTGGGCAAGTTACTTTAAAACTGTAATGCGTTATTTATTACTTATTACTGTCATTTCAAAGTAATTCGTTACATTACAATATTACTGCATTTAAAATGTAAGGCATTACATTACTATTGCATTACTGTAAGTTACTCTCACCAAAATAACTGCGAAAAAGCTGAACTTTTGAGCCGTATATGGACTGAACCAGGACTAAACAAGGTCTAAACCAGGACTAAACCAGAGCTGAACCAGGACTAAACCAGGACTATAACAGGACTAACCTCAGACTGATTCCAGGACTGAAGAGGAGGACTAAACCAGAACTGAACTAGGACTAAAACAGGACTCACTGTCAGGACAGGCTCGAAGGTGACCGCAGGAGAAAGGACTCCGCACCTCATGGAGGTAAAAGCTGCTGTCGCCCGATCGCGCTTTATGGACCCTGCTGCGCGGGCTCGCGGTCCTGATTTCAGCAACTATTTGCGGGTACAAGACCCGGTGCAAAACTCTGCTACAGCGCGTAACTTCTACCTTCCTTCAACGTGTCCAGAAGTCCAACTTTTTGTGCGATGGTTTGCATCGTCCTCTGTCTTTCGGGTGTGAGCGCAGGAGACTTTGTCGGTGCAGAACATTTCGTCGACGTTGTGGATTTTGTCGGAGAGAAAACTTGCAGACATACAGCACTTCAGAAGCACACTGCTAGAGATTGAACATTTATTTAAATTTGGCAGCTGAACACATTCTGTACTGTACTGTACAGTAGACAGGAGTCCCTTAGCCGATCAGGACACAGCGGGAGGAACGCAATACGTGTTCATACACTAAAAACAAAAGGCATGCAAAATTGCACAAAAAAAATTCTAAAAATCTGCGAAACAGCGAGACCGCGAAAAGTGAATCGCGTTAGAGCGAGGGACGACTTTAAGTCAGGTCTAAACCAGAAGTGACCCAGGTCTAAACCAGGTCTAAACCAGAAGTGACCCAGGTCTAAACCAGGTCTAAACAGCGTAGAGTTCTGGGTCGGTCCTTTCACCCGCGGTTAACTGAAGGTCTATCCGGCCGCGTCTCCGGCGTTTCACCGCTGCTGATTTCACGGTGATTTTAGCGAATTTCTATGAAGAAAAAACCACCACTTCAATCCAGGTTAAAAAAGCATTGTAACGCGCGTTACTCACATTTGTACCGAGTAAAATATTACAATTTTTCCCCCTGTAATGCCTTACATTACTGCGTTACAGCAAAAATCAACGCATTACTGTAATACATTACTTTTATAATACATTACTCCCAACACTGATTGTTACTGTGGGTAGAGCTGATGTGTAACTGTGCTGCTGGTGCCACCCACTTGTTGCCATGGAGATAGATAAGTTAGATAAGTTGGTTGTCCATCACTTGCTTGTTTCTATGGCCCAGAATGTTCCATAGTGTGACATTAAATAGCTCTACCTTACGTTTATTCAGTTACAGGTGGTTATATAGCTCAAAAATACCTAGAAAGACAGGTGTTCTGACTGTGAGCGGGGTCGCCTCTCCACAGATCTGACCTGTAATTTAGTCTGGTTTGGTCTCCATGAAGATAAAAAGGTTTAATGCCATACTGTGAAACATTCCAGACAAATAACATCTAAATGGAGAAAAGCCTGTGACGGACCCTCCAAAGTTACACAGTGCACCTTTAACGTAATCTCCACAAGCAGGACCTCCTCCAGAAAAGTTACATATTTCACCTTTAAGTTTGCATTTTGAGCACTTATAATGAGAAGACTTGCAGCTATAAAAACAAAACAGACCCCGAGTAGCCCGTCTAAACCTCACCATCAGCTGTCAAATGGGAGAATATTCAAATCAAAATATATTAGCGCTCCTGTCGACAGTATTATTTTTCGCTTCAGAAGCCACTCTGAAAATATGTGATTTGTCAGCGTCCATAAATATTATTGGAAACATTCAGGCATGAACCATGGCACAGAGCCAACACCGCACAATGCATTATAAAAACACACCATTTTACAAGTGCTTCTGAGGCTCACACTGAGAGGTAAGGATCACGAATGATACTGCGTTCTTCCATAAATATATTTACAAAGTATTCATGGCTATAAATACAACAGACATCACGTGTAAATGTTTGAATATGTTTAAAAGAGTACTTAAAAATTACTTCTTAGTGTAATTGTAGTCTATGCAAATGTATGGCAAAATAACTACTGCGGTCACTTGCAATAATAATTCAATAATTACTGCTGCTGCTACTACTATTACCACTACTACGGTTACTAATGCTGAGCTTCCTCCTACTTCTTTTGCTGCTAGTACTACTATTACTGCTTGATTACTGCTTCTACTATTATAGTTACTATTTGACTACTTTTATCTGAACCCATAGTTGTCTTCTTGCTACTTAAACTACTACCTCCATCCTTGCCATTGCTTTTTATCTTAACCTAGGTTATCAATGTCAAATCTATTTATCATCATTTATCTATTTTTTAGTGAACGTATACATTTTTAGTTGATTAGCTGTTTCTAAATTGTTCCTTTGAGTCAACATAAATTAAAAAAAAACATGACATTTTTTGAGTTTCGTCTTATTATACCTTTTGCAATTATTATTAATCCTTCTGTGCTGTAAAATTACTACTTTCAGCACAAAGTTTTTTTTTTTACTTAATAAGTACTCAGGTGAAGTTTCTTAGCACTACTTGACTGCAGTGTTTACAAGTCTGGGCGTATTCGTTTTAACTCAGTTCAAATCTTCAGAGCGATAGAAAGTCAGTACCTTGAGGCATGGATATTGCATAACCCCAGATCATATTTAAAGGCATAGTACATTATTGCCTTCTTACGACTTTCTGAATGAATTAATATGGATTTAATTACAATATTGTAATTATAAAGCAACAGAAATCACTGTTTAACTGATAAATGAATGAGTGCGTGTGGTATAACATTAAACCAGGATCCACCTGTTGAAAAGTATAGACTAGACTTCAAAATTTTCAACAAAAAATTTCAAATTCCCATGCCAAATTACACTTTATGAATATACAATACAATTTTTTATTTTTTATTTTTACATTATTTCAACATTATATAGGAAAATATACAAAAAAATACCACATAAATTAACCTAAACCAGTTATGGTACGTTGGATCACAAAAGGATCACAAAATAACGGATTGAATTTCCATTTTCACTTCAAATCCAAAACAACACAAGATAAAATCCCAAACTCACCTTTTCTGGAATTGTACCGTCAAATCCTTTAGAACTTCAATATGGCGTCATTAGATAAAATTAGATCCAAATAACAGCGATTTAAGATAACGCGCGGGGTACACGCACAGAGACTGAGAAGATCTGGGTGTGTAAAAGTAGTGGTTGCATCTGGTTGTGTGACTCTTCCTGCTTTATGCGGAAGTTCACGTCTAGACCTGTCATTGCATTCCTCCTCTGAGCTCTCCACACTGTCAAAACGCTACATGTGCCACCCCCTTTTGGACATACACTGCTAATCTATGCTTAATATTGATTGAAGTATACAGTGATCAAAAGAGAAAGTGTGATTGGGTTGTAGGTTCTAATTCCGGTGAGAAGTAAGAAGTGGCATTGGTATGTGTTGGTTAATAATTCACCTTTCTTGGACTGATTTACAGACGTTGTTAAGAAGGCACGTCACGCCGATGAGGGAGACATGACTTCTGCTACTCTGCGGAGATTTAAAAGAGGAGGAGAGAGACAAGACGGTTTCCTGTGGTGTAATAGTGATGGATAGAATGTCAATTGGAAAAATGGTTTCATAACATAGTGTCTGAGTGGCACAGGTGGGTAGTGTAGTTAAGGTTGTGATCAAGTAAGTGTACTCTCACTTCTGAATAATATTGTTCTAGTAGAAGTACAAAGTAGTAGTCAAGTAAGAGTAAAAGGAAACTACTACTGAAGTAAGAGTAATTGTGAGAGTCTGGATGTAACAACAGATTTATATTACGCTATTTTCCTATCAATGTTATAATGTTGTTTCCTCATCAAAAACATCCCCAGAGTTGTGTTTTGTTTCAGTCACACATGTTTAACACACAAACCCTGCATATTTAGTTTGTCTCTCAAACTGTACACACTCTATTCTACCTTGTGATGTCACATGGTAATACAGGAAGTGCTCCACAGTGTTTTTAAACTCCATAAACCTTCATTAGAATCATTTGAATAATTTCAGCCCTGGAATTGCCCATCTCTATTGAACTAAAAGTAAAAGATTAACTTCTAAACTACAGCTTTGTGACATCACAAGGTGAAACAGAACATTCTGAGCTTTGGAAATGTGAATGGACTAATAAAAAAGACTTACTCAAACATTGAACATGAATTAAACAAAACACAACTCCAGGTATGTTTTTGGTAAAGTAACAACATTATAACACAGCTTAAAGCTCACAAGAATCAATTTTGTGTAATTTAGGACCTATGTGATTTAAAAGACAAAACATTAAATAATGCATAAAGTCTGATATTTTCACTTGTCTTGACCTAACTTGACCAAAATAAACTTTTACTCAAGTACCAGTACTGTTACAGCATTCTGTTTAAAAACGTACTTGTCGAAGTGAAAACATGTTCTCAAAATACACATTATATAAATTCATACAACAATTGCTGCCCCACCCTCTGCAGTCACTTCTCATGTGACAAAAATAATGTTTCTAAGTGAGCCACAGAAATAGCAATGTGGAAGTATCTGTTCTCATTTGAAATCAGGAAGGAGAGCGTTAAGACATTGATGTGGTGCAACAGAAAGTTATGGAGGTCAGGGGAAATAGAGCTCTTATCTGTCCACACAGACTCCAGATGCAAAATATAGGTTCAGATTCTTACCTCGAAAACAGTCACGTAGAATCAGATGAAAAAGCAAATATAGTGAAGGGCAAATGTAAAAACAGGATTAGAATTCAACTGTAATTATGTGGTGCTCCATGTTGGAAAACAGTGAAAAGAGTGAGACTGGTTAGCAAGTCTGACTTCAACAATGTAACTTCTTCTTTAGCCCGCATCAGTAAAGTTACAGATATGGGAGCAACGCATTTACTCATAAACATAGGTTTCTACGCAGGTTTTCTCAAATGACAGTACTTTAAGTGTCTTATATTACGCAAAACTGACTCCTCTGAGCTTTATGACATGTTATATTGCTGTTACCTCATCCAAAACATACCTGAGTTGCGTTTAGTTTCAGCCACCCATATTTGAGTAACCCTCTTTAAAGCTGAAAATGCTCTGTTCCACCTTGTGAGGTCATGAAGCAGTGGTTTTACCTTTTATTCAGGAGAGATTGACAATTCCAGGGCTGAAATTGTCCAACTGATTCTAGTGGTGTATGGAGTTTAAAATCACACTTCGGCACTTCCTGTATTACCACATGACATCACAAGTTGGAACAAGGGTGTTTTTTAGTTTGAGACACAAACTCAGCTTAAATCAAATTTGAAGTTAAACATGTGTGAATGAAACAAACCACAACTCCAGGTATGTTTGAGATGAGGGAACAACATAACATAGATCAGAAAATAGTGTAATATAAGCCTTTTAATTATACCAGTCGACCCAATCAACCTTATGGTCTTTTATTTATTTTTTACTTTGTTACTTTCCAACACTGTCAGTTTCCATTTCATCTGTAGCTACCATTGGCATTGTTTCTTGTTCCCACTGTACCAATTTATAACAGAACTAACACCGCATATTATTTATACAGAAACAGGAAGCTCATACTACTTAATCACAATGACTCTGGTGTTTGGAAACATTGAAAACTATCCACAGACCCAATTGAAACCACCTGAACCTGTTTAAAGCGAGTAAACATGCTATTCTTCACCCAATGTGCACCCAACCAGACCACCCTCTCAGCGGTAAACTTCTGTCATCGGGCGTACACCGCCGGGACCAAGCAAAATAACCATGAGTCTCTCCAAGCGCCTTCTCTTGGATTAAACAAACAAGAACTGCCATCTTTCCTTCACTCGCCTTCTCTCTCACTAGGGTTGACAAACACATGGAAGTCTCCCGAACATGACCAGACTGAGCAGTTTTCAAATAAATACCTTGATTAAATGCATTGGAACTTGGCAAGGGTAATGCAGAGTTTTCAGATTTGTTGTGTCTTAGCCGTCACTTATAGAAAGCTCTCAGGGTGGTCCCATGCGGTAATGGTCCAGACGTATACATTAAAAACTGTTAGCACAAGCTACCACAAATGGGAAACGGCGTGTGAAGAGGTTTTAATTGGGAAGCTACTAAATGAGAATGACGGAGCTTATTGTCTGTGCGTGTAAAGAATATAAGCAATGAGAAACGTGGATTTTTAAATTGGATGAGGCAGCACTACAAGAGAGTTGCAATCCACGGCTTTTTCTTTTGTACTTTCAAATCTGTTTTTGGTCATTTTAATGTTTTCTCAGTGAGGCAAATCAACAAATCAAAATAAAAAATAAAAAGCAAAAAGTGAGGGTTCAAACAAAGGACTTCAAAACTGAAAACTGAAAACACATCAGTTAAATCGAGAAAAATGCAAATTAAAAACATAAAAAACAAGCTTCCCAAATGTCATCTAAATAAATTAGTCCACATTTCTTTTTAATATTTTTGTACAGGAAATTAAAGCTCTTGATGAATTAACTTCACTGTCACTATTCACATTAAAGTCACTGATAAAAAAAACAAAACAAAGCACACATATACTGACAAAGAATCCTGTTATAAAAGGCCTGGTATGTTGCCTGCTTTTAATTATAAAGCGTTTTATTGTCTGGTAATCAGTAAGTGCACATTAGCATGCGAGCTGTTGTTAATTCTGGTCTGAAAATTGCGAAAAATGCTTATAAACTGATAGCAGTAAATGATTAGGATGTTCAGATTGCACAAGGTAAGAGTGGAATAACTTCAAACTGCAAATTCACTGCAAATTTCAAGATTTAAGATGCTTTTAATGTGTAAAAATTTGGGATGTAACAATAACCTAAATATCGTGATATTGTATCGTCAAAGTTCTCACAATAATATTATGGACCATCACAATATATCGAATTACAAGTCTTTTTGCTTAAATTAAGAGTAATGGTTCAGCAATAGCTAAAAAAAAAGACAGAGGGAACTACATAGACCATGATCCTTTGCTCCATTTCAGTGTAGACTACAAGAAGAAATAACAGTTCTAAGCACTTTTAAGTCTTAGTTCTTTGGATTAAGTCTTGTCAAGACATTTTATGAGGAGAAAGTAGCATATTAACAGTTTTGTTAGTCTCCACAAAATATCGCAATAAATATTGTTCTGTGAGATGTATATCATGACAATATTGTACCGTGAGATTTGGATATTGTTACATCCCTAATCGTGAGCCTCCCCACCATATCGTGAGCTTTCCCATGATATCACAATAAATATCGCAGAGGTGGGATCAAGTGGTTGTTTTGCAAGTTTCAAGTAAGTCTCAAGTGTTTGACCCCAAGTCCAAGTCAAGTCCCAAATCAAATAGAGGCAAGTCCAAGTCGAGTCTCGAGTCAGTGGCCCATAACTCCTAGTCAAGTCCAAGTTTTGAGCTTTGAGCTTCATATCATTTCAAGTCTTTAAACCAAGGTACCAAATATAGCTTAGATTTGTGCAATTTATATGAATTTTAAGCTACATTGTACTTTAAAAATCCAAGTATATTTATATATGAGTATTTATAGAGTATATAAGAGTTGTAGAAATTAATTTAGTAAATTTTTCCTTATATCTTGTCAAGATTGACAAGAATTCAGATTCTTCACAAGTCTTCTCAAGTCACAGGCCTCTAGTCCGAGTCAAGTTCCAAGTCATTGACCTTCAAGTCCAAGTTGAGTCCCAAGTCTTAGTCAATTTTATCAAGGCTCAAGTCCTAAAAATAGTGACTCAAGTCTGACTTGAGTCCAAGTCACAACTTAAGTTCTCGCCTCTAAAATATTATACTGTGAGATTCATACCATGACAATATCGTGTCGTGAGATTTGGATATCGTTACACCCCTAGTAAAAATGTGAAGAAAAAATAAAATAAAAAGACAGTTTCACATGTGCTTAAATTTGGTTCAAAAACAGGATTACACTTGTGTTCTGAAACTACCCATGTTCTCAGCGAGCATGAGAGAACATTTACGTGACCTGTTTTTCATAAATTGTTGTAAGACTTTCAAACAAAATATACTGCCATTTCAAATACACTGTAGCTACTTTAAGGCCCTTTTCTTAGCTCTGTCTTTGCTGTCACTCAAACTCCAGCTTTCTTCACTTTCATATTTGTACCCACACATGCTCCCAGCACACTCACCCACATGGCAAAGTGAGCCGCACACAGACCAGACTTTTAAAGCATTAGTGGCCGTAGAGTCTGAGTGCTTTACCACACCTGGG